GTGAACTACACGATTTCCCAGGTGAGTGTGTTTACGTTTTTCCATCGGTACTGAACATTTTATAAATCACATACATGTCAGATCTGAATGTGAAATTAGCATTAAACCATTAAACACACAACATTCAATTTCGACTGGGAGAAGAGCAGTAAGAGCTTACCATAGCAGACACATAGAGCAGGTTAGCATCCAGCTAACTAGTTGTCATCTTCAACAGACATGTAAATGATAGCCCTGAATTAACAGCAAATTTCAACCACGTGCTCTCTTTGTGTCAATTTTAAATGGTTTTATGACACATACTCCGGAACTCTGTTGTTTGGATTATTTCTGTATAATGTTAACGTTTCTCGTGCATGTGAAGCGCTAGCCCGTGTGCTAATGAGCTCAGGGGATTAATGAACCCGTAGATTATGCTTTACTGTTGCAAAACTGTTGTATTGCGTGTCTGACCCACGACACTAGTATGTGACGTTATATACTGTCAGTTTCACTGCTGTCATGTGATGGAATTATTGGTGGATGATTGTATGTGGCTGTAATACGCGACGACGGAAATACTATTTTCATTTACCGTAACGTTTCTGATATGCAACAGGTAACGTTTTTAAGAGACCCAACAAGACACAAATAACCGAGTTTACGTATGTGAAATGCACATAACTTACTTCAGGTTGTAGCAGTTACTTTAGTGTAACGTTATTTTGTTGACCCTAGCTGTAAGTCTCGCTTCTCGTATTAAATTACTTAAGTAGGATAATTAAAACAATTAAAACAATTAAAACAAATTCTCATCTGATCATTGGCCGCTGAGTGGACTTCATTTGCCATCAAAATGTATTTCTAAAAAAATAATATATATATATATATATATATATATATATATATATATATATATATATATATATATATATATATATATATGAAAATACATTTCTGCTTACTGTTAGGTTTAACATTCAAAGTCTTTATATGTACAGTAAGGAACAGGTTCCCTGTAGAAAGAAATTCTTACTTTGCTGTCTACACTGAATGCCAGTAAGGTTAAATGTATATATATATATATATATATATATATATATATATATGTGTGTGTGTGTGTGTGTGTGTGTAAATGTTTTGTAAAAAGTTGTAAAAAGTGTGTAAAAAGTTTTTAACTGAAGCAGAGAATAACTAATGTGCAAAACAGCTTACATGTGCAGAATGTTAAAGTGCATATGTGCAATTGACAGTCCTTGTTACAGACTGCTGACAGCTGTTAGTCAGTTTAGTTTAAATAATTACTGCTATTGAATTATTTTAGGATGTAGACCAATACTACGTATATATAAATGTATGAATATATTTATTTGTTCATTTTCTTTCAGCTTAGTCCCTTTATTTATCAGGGGTCGCCACAGCCGAAATAACCACTAACTTAACGAGCATATGTTTTTACGCACCAGATGCCCTTCCAGCTGCAACCCAGTACTGGGAAACACCCATACACTCTCACATTTACACACACATATACACTATGGCCAATTTAGTTAATCCTGTTAACCTATACCGAATGTCTTTGGAGTGTGGGGGAAACCAGAGCTGAAGAACATGCAAACTCCACACAGAAAGGCTCATCTGGGACTCGAACCAGCGACCTTCTTGCTGTGAGGCGACCACTTGACCACTGAGCCACCATACCGCCCTATGTATAAATATTGAATATAGCAAATAACACTTACATTAAGAATAATTTACTTTATAATTATATTTTAAAATACAACGTATTTCTATATTGTTCAGTATTTAGTGCCAAGTGAATATTGAGAAATTATTCAGATACAGGTTTGCTATGATACGTTATTAGTTATTGATTTTATTTTTGATTTTATTAATAATCATCAGAAGTAATAGGTTTATTTATATATATATATATATATATATATATATATATATATATATATATATATATATACATATATATATATATATATATATATATATATATATATATATATATATATATATATATTCTATATAATCTGATTATATAGATAATCAAAATAAAGGTTTATTGTGCATGAAGTCATCATATCAGAATGATTTCTGAGGAATTATGTAAATTTGAACATTGTACAAATGATGCTGATCAAGTGTAACTTTAAAATATATTTATGACAAAAATTCACAATATTACTAATTTTTTATTTATATTGTTTTATTCAATAAATATGGCTTTGATGATCATTAACTTCTTTCATAACATAAGTCAAAGGTATTAGTCTCCCTTTGAATTATTTATTTATTTTATTTATTTTATTTTTTTAACAAAGTAAGGAAATTTTCAAAGTATATGGTAATATTTCTGAAGAAAGTATTGCTTGTTTTATTTCGGCTAGAATAAAAGTGGTTTTTAATTTTTTAAAAGCCATACATTCATTCATTCATTTTCTTGTCGGCTTCCAGCCGCAACCCATCTCTGAGAAATTAAAAGGCATATTGATGTCAAAATTATCAGCCCTTTTAAGCTATTTTTTTTTCGATAGTTTACTGAACAAACCATCATTATACAATAACTTGCCTAATTACCCTAAATAACCCAGTTAACCCTTAAAAGTCACTTTAAGCTGTATAGAAGTTTCTTGAAAACTATCTAGTAAAATATTATTTACTGTCATCATGGCAAAGATAAAATAAATCTGTTGTTAAAAATGAGTTATTAAAACTGTTATGTTTAGAAATGTGTTGAAAAAAATCTTCTCTCCGTTTAACAGAAATTGGGGAAAAAATAAACATGGGGGCTAATACTTGAGGGGGGGGGGGTATAACTGTAAAACTGTATATTCACTCAACATAATTAGGCTAACTAGGCTGGTTAGGGTAATTAGCAAAGTTATTGTATAACAATGGTTTGTTCTGTAGACTATAGAGAAAAATATATAGCTTAAAGGGGCTAATAATATTGTCTTTAAAATGATTCTTAAATAAATAAAAACTGCTTTTATTTGTGCCAAAATAAAACAAATAAGACTTTCTACAGAAGAAAAAAACTATTATCAGACATACTGTGAAAATACTGTATATAAGCAATCATTATGAAGTAGTATATTTTGTTTTTAAAAAATGTCAGAATTAGCTGGTTTTCATATTTAAATCAAAGCATAACTATTGATAAGGATAATTTATAATATGTAATTGTTATGATTTATATTATTATTATTTTATATTATCAATCTGTTCCCCTCAGCACTTACTGCATTTTGAAACCTGTAAAAACAAAGATGTTTCTGTTGTCCCTAGTGTTTCACAGCCATATGATGCATCTAATGAATAATCTAATTGAGCTTGTCTTTGATGTGATCTCTTTGCAGAAGAGCCCCGTCCAACTAAGCAAATGGGGCTTTTTGACAAGCTTGCAGGATGGCTGGGCCTAAAGAAGAAGGAAGTGAACGTGCTGTGTTTGGGTCTGGACAACAGTGGAAAAACTACCATCATCAACCAGCTAAAACCATCCAATGTATGCCTGTAGACACAATATGACTTTCCCTTTTCCTTTCTGTTCTTTGATTTCTGTTTTAAGTGTGCACTCACTGTGACATTGTGATACCTATTATTTGTGTTCCTTGCAGGCTCAGGCTCAAGACATTGTCCCAACTATAGGATTCAGCATAGAAAAGTTTAAGACCTCAAGGTGAAAATATTTTTTTTTTTTCAAAGACTGCCTTTAATCCTGGGTAAACAAAGTATACAATGCAAAAATGTTTTTACTCTGGACTAAATATAATATATATATATATATATATATATATATATATATATATATATATATATATATATACACACACACACACACACACACACACAACCCAACCCTTAATTGGATAGATCACCCCTAAAAATTTACATTTCCGCACACTCAGGTAGTTCTAATCTTTCATGATTTTCCTGTGTTGAACATATAACATAATATTAAGGACTGTGTGGGGGAAACCAGCAATCAACATTTATAGTAAGAACAAAAAAATACAATGGAAATAAATAAATAAAAAATTTTCTCCAACATTCTTCAAGACATATTCCATTGTGTTCAACAGAAGAAATTCAAACAATTTTGGAGGGTAGAGGGTAAATGATGGCAGAATTTAAATTTTTGGGTGAACTGTCCTTTGAGGCACAATGTGAAAAGCCCCATATTTGTAATGTTTCCAAATTTTACTAACACAGCTTCTTTCCCCAAAGTCTTTCTTTCACAGTGTTTGACATGTCAGGACAGGGAAGATACAGAAATCTGTGGGAACACTATTACAAGTAAGCTTATCTGATAATATTGAGCAAGCAGAGTGTCGTCAGCCATTTTGGAATGAAGCTGTGTGACTTGCATGCATCTGTTGTGTTTTTGTTTTTTTTTCAGAGAGGGGCAGGCCATCATATTTGTGATTGACAGTGGAGATAAACTTAGAATGGTAGTGGCAAAAGAGGAACTGGATACCCTTTTGAATCACCCTGGTAGCCCTTGCTTTTCTTGAATTTGTTTTCTAGTAATCATTTTCAGATCTGATTTAAAATCATCCTAATTCTTAATCACATTTGCCTTTGTGAATGTACACAGATATTAAGCACAGGAGGATACCTTTACTCTTTTTCGCCAACAAGATGGACCTCAGGGATGCTTTGTCAGCAGTAAAGGTCTCCCAGCTTTTGTGTCTGGAAAACATTAAGGACAAACCATGGCATATCTGGTAGGAAAGCAAAACATTTATTTCTGTAAGATTGTTAAAGCCCATTTACACCAAGAACAAAACAAGTAACAATAACTAAACATCTTAAACATCAGTTTTGTCATCTGCTGGTTTAAATGCTCTACTGACATAATATATTTTGTACTGGCTGCTTAACGGCGCACTCACATTAGATACAGTTGCCTTGAACCGTGCCAAAGCATGATTGTTTACCATCCTCTCCCCCCTTCGGCCTGCACTCACATTGCATTTTTACCTACCAGACATGAGCACGCTTACATCTTCGATGATTACGTTTGTACTAAACCATGACAGTTTGCGTTCGTTGAAAATTAAGAATGATTAATAAATCCACATGAAATAGTCACCTAAAAGTCACATTGCATCCTTACATTCAGGCTCAGGCACGCTTTGGCACACCTATTCCAGCCAGGCCAGGGCCGGCCAAATGAACCGTGCCTGAGCCCAATTCAAGGAACTCACACTTCTCGAACGAATCGTGAAACGCACCTGGGCATGGTTCGGATAGCATAGTGTGAGTGCGCCATCAGTTTTAATTAGCTACAATAATCTCAAACTGGCTCTAATGATTGTTTCACTGTACCATCATTTTTGGTAGATACTGGCAGATACTATGGAAGCCCTTACCACCACTGAATAAAAAAAAAAAAAATGCAAACAAATAAAAAATATATAAAAAAACTATGAAGTCGCAATTCTGCATTATAAAGTCAGAATTCTAAGCTATAAAGTCAGAATTCCAAGCTTTAAAGTCAGAATTCCGAGTTGTAAAGTCAGAATTCCGAGTTATAAAATCAGAATTTTGAGTTATAAAGTCAGAATTCTGAGTTATAAAGTGAGAATTGTAAGTTATAAAGTCAGAATTGCGAGTTGTAAAGTCAGAATTGCGAGTTATAAAGTCAGAATTCTGAGTTATAAAGTATTTTTTTATAATTAAATGATTTATAGTTTCATTATTCAGTGGCAGTTTCAGGCTACCGTAAGATACTGGAGAACCTGACAATGAAAAAAAAAATAAAATAAAAAAAGGTCAATTTTATTCTGATGTCACCTTGAATGGTGGGGTGGGGCCTGTCAGACACTAGAGATCATTTGATTGGTTATGATTTGATGAGAAACTGAACCCATTTAGGCAGAAGTGACAAACTGCAAGCTTTACATGTAATTTTTTTTCACTGTTTTGGAGTCGTCTTGCTTATAGATATCTTTAAAACTAACATCTAAAAATATTTTTTATTTCATGTGACCTTTAAACTAAACCCCAACAGATAATTGGAAAATCAGTTGTGGATTTGTTTAATAATTGCAACAAATTCAAAAGATTAAATAAACACAATATATTTGATTAACTAAATTTCAAGCATTATCCACTAAGATTAACTATGCTCGAATAAAATATAAAGTATTTTTGATATTTGACATTTTTTATATTTTTCACAGATACAGAAATCATTTTGATAATATATTCTTTTATGTGCAAATCTTTTAAAAATGCAAAGGAAACATTCAGTTTACATATATATATATATATATATATATATATATATATATATATATATATATATATATATATATATATATATATATATATTTTTTTTTTTTTTTTTTTTTGTGTCATGGTTGCAGTATATAAACAGTGTATGAGTTACAGTTAATAACCTTGAGAGTGAGATTACAGATATGAATTACCAAGATGGTCTGTCTGTATCTATGTGGGCGAAATGGGAGGTCATTTAAAATAAACAAGGTTTATGCAAGTGAGATAATTCAATTGTTATGCCTGTAATTAAGGGAATTCTTTAATTAGATTTCATAATTAAGGAACTCTCATTATTAACTAAATTGTCTTAATACGTTGATTAAAGATGTTAGCTGTACATAAATCACTAAGTTAATGCACCAGAAGCAAATCACAGATTTAACTTTAGTTACGGTATTCAATAAATGTCATAATAAATGGAGAAAAAAAAAGGTATTACATACCACAGTGACAAGCATTCCTATCTAGATGGAATTGGATTTCTCTGAGGAACACCCCGAGCCGGCCAGGATAGGTAATTTGCTCTTTAATTTTTACAAAGGTTGCATGAAATCAACACAGACGTGTTCAATTCAGATGGGAATAACACAAAGTGTGTCTGTAACAAATTTACTTAATCTCCTGAGGGTAAAACCTGTCCTTTCTGAATGCATTTTGTTTTTCATTGAAGGCTTAGCTTTAGACGTCTAGATCATTATGAGATTGCGCTTTTAGAGGGCCAGCTATGGTTGCGTGTTTCATATTACTATTAGAATTCCTATTCCTAGAACTAATATTACTATTAGTGTTCCCATATCCATGGTTCCAGTGAATGTTCACAAGTAGCATCTCAGACATGTGTGGTTAACAGTACAGCTCTAATCCTATGGTTACATGTACATTTAGTGCCAACAGTTGTTTTTATGGAAGCCACAACTTTTTCCAAGATGATATAATGTGTAAAAGATATCATTTAAACAATGTTTTCTGTTACTTTTGATCAATTTAATGTACATTCTGAATAAAAGAGAACATTTCCAGTACAGTATTGTAAACTACATGTGAAAAGGGCTAGAGGCAAATAATCATGTGAATTTTTTTAATTTTACAAATATTACTGCTGTTTAACAGATTAAAGGATTTTTTTTCAGTTATATTTTTCTTTTAGATTAAGTTATATTTATTTTAGTTTGGTTGAAATAAAAGCATTCTTACATATTTTTTTAGCCCCCTCAAGACATTTTCTTTTCAAAGACCACTGTTGTTTAATGACTCGTCTCTTTTATTTATTTATTTTATTTTTTATTTAACTATTATTATTATTATTATTATTATTATCATCATCATCATCATCATTATTTAAATACGTTTTATTTATTTATTTATTTTACAGTGCTAGTGATGCAGTGAAAGGAGAAGGTCTTCTAGAGGGTGTAGACTGGCTGCAAGGTAACTGCATTACATGCTTTGTGCATCTGATTTTCCATGTATTCTTAAATTGTTTCTTTATAGCAGGGGTGCCCAAACTCGGTCCTGGAGGGTCAGTGTCCTACAGATTTTAGCTCCAACTTGACTCAACACACCTGCACAGATGTTTCTAGAAAGCCTAGTAAGAGCTTAATTAGTTAGCCCAGGTGTGTCTGATTGGGGTTGGAACTAAACGTTGCAGGACACTGGCCCTCAAAGACCGAGTTTGGGCACCCTTGCTTTAGAGACTAGTGGAAGGACTATTTAGGAAGGGTCTCAAAAACATATTTTAAAATATTAAATACTATTTCTACTCTTGTGCTCTGTTTTATCCATAGAACAAATTGCACTGTAAGTACTGAAGCTGAAATTCCCAGATGTGTTGTGATTCTTGTTTATTAATAGAGTTTCTTTAGGAACTCGCATCTTGGCTGTATGTATTCTTGCACCATTTAATTTCATTTCGGCCTTTTGGGCAATTTTCAAAAGCAAATAAACCTTTTTGAGGTTTTTTAAAGATTAGATACAGCCCAAATTGATGCAAAAAAATTTCAGACCCCTATTTTTCTTGATGTTTGAGGTGTATTTGAAGATTCTGATAAGTGTAGATTATAAAAGTTTACAGATGTCTGTCGTCTTACACTCAATAGTTTATTGTTTGTCCCATCCCCACCTTCTCCCCACTCCAAAAAAAAAAAAAATCCAGCAACTTTGTTGTAACCTGTTTATAAAAAATAACGTTCTTTTGATTTTCTCCTCTCATTTGCAGATCAAATCAGAGCGATGAAAACGTAAAACCCTCCTGAAAGAAAAAAAATAAAATAACCTCCAAGGTCACCTGTTACAATGGCAAAACCTGACAAAACCAGATCTTCAGCTTTGGGCACAATGACAGTGTGTGTGAATTTAAAATCAGTTCAGTTTTACTGTAATAAAGACACTGTGTAGCTTTATTATGACCCTATTTGCACCAACTGTCAATGTCTCAATTGATCACAAATGGTTAGTTGAGAAATCTTTATAAATCTCATCACAAAAGTTATTGATTATTATTTATTAGCAGGTTCTCTGTTGTTCAGCATATATAAGCACACTAAAGAATTAACACTAAAAATGCATTTCTGACTACCACCTCTAAAAAAAACGTTCGGTAACCTTTTTATCCAGTGTTGTTTTATCCAGGGGCTGTTCACAATTGTCATCTTTTGTTCGTGCAAGTTCGTTTTTTCCAAAGTAGGCGATGTACTTTGCTATTCCAGGCACACCGCCTTAAAAACATCTTAACTTTTCAGAATGCTACAAGTGTACATGAAAAGAACTGACCAATCAGCTTATTACTTTGTATAGAAAAAATCACATTTCTGTAGACTAATTACCTCAGACAAACACAGAACACACACACACACACTGCAGCACTTTTTAATTTTTGTCAATAAATAATACTTGTATTAGAGCTGCAGCAATGTTTTGTCAGTTAGTCATGCCAGCAACGACAGATGGACATTGAAACGCGAGTGCAAAACATGTTTGAAAATAGTGAAGGAAGTGATGTGCCTCACGCTTTCCATGCAATTTTAGACACGAAAGGTAAATGGCCCCTAACTCAGTTCTGACATTTTTTACTCATCTGAGCTGTGGTGTAAATTGGTCTGTGACAATATATAAATGTTCCATAACATCCTAAAAATATGAACGCTATACGTCTTGCCTACCAATGCTGCAGAAATGTGTTTCTCGACTTCATTTTTGTGGGCCCCAACACTGCACATTTTGCACGTCTTCTTAATTATACACAACTGGTTTAACTCATTAGCTCATTGGAGACTCCAAGAGCTGAAATAGTTGTGTCGGGTTCATAAGACATGTAAACTGTACCGTTTTAGTTGGGGTCTCCAGAAACATGAATGAAAAGCATTTGTGTAGAGTGATTCTGCTGAGAGAGCAAGATGAATTGTAATCACCTATGAATTGATTTAAAATATTAGCAGACTAATCTTTTTTTTTTTTTTTTTATCTTAGCTATGTGCGTTTATAAATCAATTAAAATTACTTATGAGCACTGTTCATTTCATCGCTCTAGAATGTAAAATCAGTCAAAGCTTGTTACTGTAGTAATGTTATGTACAGTAGTAATATTTACTTTCTATTTTGCTATGATAAACTATTCATGCATTGCACGCATGTTGCCTCTGAACCGTTTAATTATAACAGTGTTGTTCTTTTGTTGTAGTTTTTTTTTTTTTTTTTTTTTTTTTAGTGTGACTGCTTAAACTGTCAAAAAGGACACATTCCTCTTTGTTCTGGATTTATTTTTTTCCCAATATCAGGTGTGTTTTAAATGGAATGGTTGATGCATTTTTTTGTCATTTTATTTCGATTTTACAAATGTATTTATTTTCTAAACATTTCACTGAAATTTAGCAGTTCCTTTCTTGCTGTTTTTATTCAACATTGAGGGTTCTTGTAATAGCACATGTAAAGAATAAACAGAAATGTTGGGGCTTAGATTCTGTGTGACGTGGATCTTTTTATTATTTGTTCTCGCTCACACTCTATTCTGTATAGACACAAATATTTACTCACAAGCATAAATACAAAGACACCTGTTTCGAGAAAAGTGCATGTTTGTTTTATAATTTACTTATAGCATGACTTAAAAATGTCAATAAATAAAATTGTATTTATTTGAGAAATAGTTTGATATTAAATATCCCATTCTGTTAAGGGAATATACTGTGTGTGTGTGTGTGTGTGTGTGTGCGTGCGTGCGTGTTTGTTTGTGTGTGTGTGTGTGTGTGTGTGTGTGTGTGTGTGTGTGTGTGTGTGTGTGTGTGTGTGTGTGTGTGTGTGTGTGTGTTTTCCCCTCAATAATCAATGTCTGAAAACATGGAATATTTTATATTGACCTGCTCTCAGTTCTCAAATACATTTTTTTAAAAGATAATTTACCTTTCAGAGATTTTAAGTGACTAAACTGAACTGAAATCAGTCATTTGTGTGAATAGGTCACTTTTGCCTATTCATCTAGTATTTGACGGTTTTAGTAGTGGCTATCATACTAGTAAAACAGTGATTTATAAAATAAATGAGAAACACTTTACTTTGTGGAAAACACATGGTTCAAAACAAGAGAACATAACGACTAAAGCATTAAGAAAGATTAAAAAAAAAATTCAGAAGATGTTTTTATAAATTGAGCAATTCTAACTGTGACTGGTTGCTAGTCGGAGAGCCTCTGGGCAGTTTGTGGCCTGTGAAAGCTGCTATAATGGAGTGTAGACCTCTCAAACAATGCATCTAAAGGTGTGACAACACAACATTAGCAACCATGTAACAAGTACAAGTACTAGGAGCATGTCATTAAATCCTTTAAACGATTTATTCAGATATATGTGAAACACAACTATGCAGCTTTGGCTTAGTTTAGTACCATTTCAAAGACAAAAAAAAAGCCAATTTTTGCCTAAAATATAACTCGTTTACTCATTTTTTATATGGTTAACCGCAGAATTACTCTTACAATTGTGTGGTTGTTTTGTTGATATTGCTAAAATCATAATCATATACACATAATTAAATAAGATGAAACTCCAGCTGAAGTCTCTAATGAGAGCATTAAGCAATCTTGGCGCCACTAAGTATTTCAGTTGCTGGAAAAGACATAAATGTGCGCAAAACCATAAAACCGGCAGATGGCCCTATGGTTGGATGAGATTCTGCCGTTTTCAGTCGTATGACCGTGCTGATGTTTTGGTCTTAATGAGCAGGGGCATTAGATTTTCCATAACTATAATCATGGCCACGGTTCAGCCCATAACAGCTGTCCCTCGCACAGTTCACAGAGAAATGTCTGACCAGAACTCTTTTTTTTATATATTTTATTTTTTTTAATACAAGGATGTAGCTCTGGCACTTTTGCATTAAATGATCACCTGACTATTGGGAAAAAAAAAAAAAAAAAAAAAAAAAAAATATATATATATATATATATATATATATATATATATAATGGTTAGAGCAAAGTTGTATATTTAAGAAACCAATCTGCGATGATTTGAGCTGATATGTAATCCAGCTGAAAGCAGGCATCACAAGATGGGCACACTGTGCTCATAAAGACATAGACATTATAAGCAGCAGCAATTCGGCAGACTATGGTGTTTAAACAATTCTCAGTTGGAATCAAATCACAAGTGTGCTATATATCTCCCACACCATTATAGAAGCAGCAGCCTAAACTTTTCATACATGGCAGGATGGATTCATGCTTTGTTGCTAATCATTTGAATGTTGGTCCAGAAATCAAGACTCATACAAGGGAAACTTTTTTTAATCTTCTATTAAAGCAACCACCAAGAAACTGTGGTTTATAGTGAATTTAAAACAGCTAAGTGCGATATTGGACATAATGCAGAACAGAGTGCCTAAACCCCTATTAGCTGTTGCAAATTCATTATGCTTCATGTTGATTATTCTATAAAAGTGTTATTTCTTAACAGGTAAAGAAAAAAAAAATTAACATAACAGCGTATAATTCTAGAGTCACTATTTTCTTTTTTTTTTATAAATAATTTTCTATTTTATATGAGCCTGTGAATATGTAGCCTCAGTTTGCAGTTCTTAGCAGATATTGGATTGGAGATGTGTTTTATGCTGCTGTTGCACACCTGCTTTAAGGTTTCAGTGGGTTTTGTATTCTCAGACTCTTGCTGTTATGCGAGTTATTGTTTACCTCTGGTAAAAGCAAGGAACTTTCCCACTATTTTCTTATTTTTTCACCAATATCTGTTAACCCTAGAGGTGTTTGCATGTGACAATGACAGTAAATCAGCAGTTTAAGAAATACAGACCAGTCTGTCTCACACCAATGCTACTTACAACTAATTACTTCAAATCCATTTCTTTCCCCAATTCTGATTTAGTTTGAACTTCAATAGATAGCTATGATCATGAATTCAGAATTGCATAGTAGCCACAACTAATAATCTTTAAATTTTGATGTAGATTCCAAAAAAAGAAAGAAATCAACACTGTAGAAAGAGATCAGTTACTTTACTTAAAAAAAGTGAGTAAACCCATTGACTTAGCTTTTATAATACATGCACACAGTTTGTTTAATTAATAATTGTAAGGCAAAGAACTCACTCCTTTTTTAAGTAAAGTCCACTAATTGCTTTTACAGTGAAGTCTTTAAAAAGAGTTTACGTGTCATTTAAATGTTCTTCTAAAATGGGCATTTTTCAGCCTTCTATGAATGTTCAATTGTTTAACTTTAAAGGAAATGAAAACGATCTATTATTTGCTATACAAATTTTAATTACTGAACCTACACAAACTGTAAGAGATTCTAGGTTCCACACAATCAATTTGTGTTGGGACAACATAAAGGAATTAAGTTAACTTATCAGTCAACTGGACATGAAACAATAAACAAAACATGCAACTGCAATATTTTTGAATAAAAAAATATTGCAGATTCCTTAACATTATCAAAAATTTTGATAATGTTAAGGCATTCTTTAAAAAAAGGCACCAAGTATTATGTGTTTCTCAGTTGTCAGTTTAGAGATGACAGAATTATGATTGTTGGATGAGCTTTCCTATTAACATCATAAAAAAGAAAGAAAAAGAAAAAAACAGTAGGCTGTTTCCATCAGCCGTCTGGTGCCAATGCAGTGTAGGGACAGCACCAGAGACATTCTGTTCAGTTCCTAGAAAAAGTGACAGCAGATCTAAAACACGGCGCCGCAGCGGAGACTCCCTGACTCTGATCTCCGCGCGCAGTGGACTCGGTTCGTCCCGTTAAATCGTGCGTGACAGACGTGACGTTGACGCGGGACCCTGTTGCTCATAAGTGCCTATTGCTTTGCAAGTTTCTGTCTCTTAGTGAACATCGCTTCAAGATTCATATTCACTGCTGCTACAGTCCGTAAACAAAACAGTGTACATTTTCTTTTAAAGACGAACTGAGTAGACCTATAATATACATCAGCCATTACAAACGGACGATCTAAATTAAACGTCCGTGCGCAGCTATGGCAAGCCATTTTAGCATTTAACCTACAAAACGCAGGCTAGCATCAAACATTCCAGCCTGATCTCACGAGAAAACGTAAGTATTTTAGGGTTTGCAAGTTTAGTGGCTAATTCGTACGAGCAGTTGTACGAAATTGTACGGTTTTAAAAAGAAGCACCTAACCCCACCCCTAAACCCAACCGTCATTGGGTGATGAGCAAATCGTACCAAATTGTATGAATTAGATCGTACGAATTCATACAAATTAGCCACTAAATCAAAAAATTTACGAATTGCCATGAGATTATGTTGAACATTCTACTTCTAGTTTAATGGC